AGCCCTTACCTAGAAACATCAATCCTGGCAAACCGGTACTTCAAAAAACGTTTGACAAAGTAATGATGATACATTTTCTTCCTCCGAGGTCTCACGTGGTTTCATTGCCCATTCCGTCCGTCCTTTCTCATCCCAGACCTCCGCTCTGCTCTGCACGCGCGCCTCCGTCCTTGACGTAAAAAAAAAAAAAACACAGCTCTGAAACAAGTTGTTTTTCTGCGTTTTGGCCTTGGTGCTTACCTGTTTCCTCGATCTGCGTCGAGCAACAACAGCTCCTCTCATTTTGAGTCACTGGTGGTGTAAATCAACCCCCCCCTTCAGACCGATGTTCCTTCTGAGACACGTACTTGTCATGGCAAATGTACGCCAGCTGCACAGAAAAAAAAACTCTCCTCGAGCATGGAATTATGTTTGGGCATTCCCTAAAGAGCTGCTGTTTGTGTTTTCTTTTGGGGATATGCGAGGCCACCCAAAACAAAATGTTATATTATTCCACTGCTTTACTACAAACAAGAGCAAGCGCCAGAACCTGGACTGTGCTCCTCTTTTATGCTTCTCCTCAGGAAATCAACCCATGTTTAAAAGTTCCTCCACCCTTTTGGAAATATCTTTGTGCCGTTGCTGGTCATAAGCAACGGGCTCAACAAGCAAATAGAGTTTGACAATGCTTCCCAAACCGACATCGGAGTGTTTGAACCATTCTGCTGATTTGTCTTCTGCAACACTCTCAGACTGTTTGTGATTCGACGAGTCCAGAAGAGCACGTGGCAGAGCGGGCGAGCGCAGCCTCGGTGTGCGATAGCCGGGTCCAAATGGAGCGACCGGGTCATTCAACCCAAATTAACATTTTATATTTGTATACACAGAAACTACACTTATGCCCAGAACACATCTGAAAGTGGATGTGCTCTGTATTTAATGAACCATTTCTGTCTTTTATGGCCGTCCACAGTTTGGATAACTCGTTATAACCCACATTACGCCTGTTGAGTTATAACATTGATAGATTGGTAAAAAAGTACATGATCTGTATGAAGATAGGGATGATTTATTTTGGTCACTCACAGGGAAGACCATTTAAAAACCTGGCGGCCAGGTTTACGCCATTCGAGCGCGCCGGCTGCTTCCGCGCGTGGACGGATACCAGAAGTACCAATGGCCAATGAGAAACAGGTGGCCGGAGAGAAGTAAACGAGTTGTAAGGACAAAGTGTAAATTGCCGCTGGCAATAATTGAAGTGCTTTCATAAGGGACAAGGGACAACTTAAGGGACAACTTATTCCAGATAGGACCACGGCCTCCTAGGCCGCATCGACACTACTGGCTCTCTCTGATCGCGGCCCACTGGGCCTAATGGGTCTTATGTCACGTCGCTGTCCGTCATCAAAGAGCATCGAGAACCTCGGCTAGCGCCGCTGTGACAGTGGAGGGTATGTCGGAGAGAAAAGGAGGCCTCTGGCTTTGGGGCGATCGGTTTGTTTGTTTTTCTTTTAGTTCCTTTGTGGCTCTTTTAAAGCCGTTGGCAGGGGATGATTCCGCCTGGCAGCCCCCCCCCCCCTCTCTACCGCACACCTTCCCTCTTGCCATCCGTAATTACCACACTGTTTCGAGTTCGAGCCTGTCCAAAAGCCACTGCAGGTCTGATTTTTTTTGGCTTGGCTCCTCTCTGACATGCCTGGGAAGGGCAAGGAAAGGAAATGGGTGGACCAGCCGCTCTCTCCCCGTTCCCCCAGAGCAGGCCTGCATGGGAGAAGCCAGCCCAGTGTTTTTCGACTCGAGCTTGTAAGGGAGCACAGCCCATCTGGATCTAATAAATCCTCCATGCGGCTTCACAACTGGAATTGCTTGGCCTGTTTGGGGACGTGATCACCGTCCGATACGGTCGTTTTTTTTTTTTTTTTTGCAAAACAACAGGGGAGATCTTGAGAGCGGTTGCCAACGCCATCAGACCCGTGTGGTCCCCGAAAACCTTTTCTACTCTGAAGAGCGTAAAGCTCGCCCTGGGTAGACCCCCAAACTCCTCCGGGGATGGGTGATGGATGTGTGGTGTGACGGTGACCGTATTGTAAACATGCATTCCTGCCAACGGTGGGCAGCGTGTCCCTGCGTCTTGCTTCAGGACTCGCGGTATTCCGTCGAGCAGGCAAACGGGTCATGGTCAGACCAGCACTATTTTCTTTAATGAGTCTTAAGTGCTCACTTAGCCAATTTGTATTTTCATTGCGCAGGTTTAGGTCAAGGACATCTTCTTGACACAACACCTGTGAAAAGCAAAAAGGAAAGAAAACCTCTTTCGACGCGACCGCTCAAGTGCTAATCTTCTCCAAACTCGACTAGGATTTGCGTTCATTGTCGTATATTGTTTCAAACATTTCATTCAGAAGAAATAACCCTCGATCGGTCTCCCCTTCAGACACTCACTCTGTTTTGCTTTTTTAATGAATGATAGTACGGGCGCACCAAAACAACACGCTACGCCGTCCACAGCCCGCCAGATCATTAGGTCATGCACCTCTCTGTTGGTAATGTCTGCCTCACGATCCCAGGCATTTATTTATGACCTGTTGGCTGCGAGAGACCTGCTGACTCGCACTGGTGAGGTCAAAGCCATCAAAGTGACCTCACCAGCAGAGACAACACAACATCTGTCCTCATCTTTCACACCTTCGGTGGCTGAGTTTCCTCAGACCTCCCTGCCTCTCCCCGCACTCACTTCCCTCTAATTAGAAACAGTTTGATTTAGTGCTCCGAGCACGGTAGACGAAATAACAGGAGTCAAGCCTATTAAGACCTTAGAGGGGGGGGGGGGGGGGGGGGGATTTTCAGCGGCGGTGTTTTTGCGGATCAGGGTAATGCATGTGAAACGACACTGCACGTTGAGCGACAGAATCAGACAGCGGCGGGCTTAATCACATGACGGGAAGTAGAAGGAAACAGTTGTTATCTTCCTATATAAGCTCGTCCACTCCTGCCTGCCGGCTGACATCAGACCGCCAAAGCCTGTGCGGAATGTGTGGGACGCCGTGGTAGCGCCTATTCCCCGTTTAAAGACACATGTACTGTATTAACAGTAGCAACCTCTTTTTTTTCGCGTGTGTGTCTCTCCTCAGAAGTGAAACGGCATCTTAAAAGCGAAGCGCTCCATGCAGGTGTCAATCAGTTGTGCATTAATAATATAACAATAATGAAATGATATCCCACAGGTATTATCCTGTAATTAAAATGGGTAATAATAGGATTTGGGTGGTGGTTTACGGGCAGGAGACCACACATTGGGTAAGCTCGTATTGTACATGCTTAATCTGATTAAATCTTTAACCGTGATTCATGAAAAAAGAGTGACACAGACTTCACAGGAGTGTTGACATCTGCAGGGCTTTGTTCTTACAGTCGCCCTGATGGGGCAGGGCTATTAATGTTGCTATAATTCTCCATGCAGCAGCTTTAAGAGACATTTTTTGGTGGATTTACACTCCGACATGGGCTGACAGAAAGTCAGTGAGCTGCTGGTATGGATTTGCAACATCTGGTTCTGGATCATTCGGGTTCACTAAATCACAGCAAAATAAAATAGGACTTGTGCTCCGAGGCGAGGGAGTGATTCATCTGCGTCTGATGAGGACGGGCCATTGTTATTAATTTCTGGGAATGAATCATACTGGGGTTGGTGCTTTGCGTTACTTGCGCTAATTAATGTGACAAGGGCCTCTTCTGGCACCTTTCTGTACTGGTAAACATGATCATTACCTCATTTGAAGAAGTTATGCAGCTTCCTGTCAAACATCCTGTGATCTACAGGGACTTGAAACTAGCTGAGAAGTTTAACCTTTTTTTTCCCCCCTCCATACCAAACTGGTATGAGCGCTTTGAGTGTATCACTGGGGTAAATTCACACCAGAACTTCCCTCTCCATTTTCCATGCATTTTTCTGTGAAGTGTGATATCGATCACCCATTGACTTTTAAAGGAGACGCCCATCAGCACAACCTGACAGGCGAAGAACAAAGCCCCTCATTCCTTCCCTCTTATCTGTTCTGAATCTGTGCACCGAGTTCCTTCATGTGGCCGCTTTTGTTCATTTTGTCCGTTGAACTGTTGGCCCTTGTGGCTTGCCTGAGGAGAATATTCATGCATCTTTCCTTCTCTTTGTATCCCAAAACTCTGCCGTAATAAATTGTCTTAGCACGGTGGTAATAACAGAAACATCTGAGGGCCACATGGGATGCAACAGACCTCTTTGCCTTTTAGACCAAGAAATTAGAATTCATTTCTGCCAGAGGATAGATAGCACAATATACTTTGGAAAAATCATCCTCTTTAAGTTTAGCAAACCAATATGTACGTGTGTTTTTTTTTCTTCTTTTCTTGCAGGAATGAAATCTTTATCTTAAAGGGTGACAGTATAACACCTGGTATGTATCAGTAAATTGAAGGGAGGAAAGGGAAAGCCATATGTCCACCTTCCGTCTTCAAAGCAGCCAGAATGTGTATCTAAGTGCATTCAAAGATTGAAACAATCCAAAAAGGAAATTTATCACTGAGCTAATATTTCTGGGCTCTTAAGGATTTAGTTTCATAAACATTGGATGCTGAATTCTTTTTTTTCTCACACTGATGCCATTTGAGCTCAGGCACCTGCATCTGCCAGACGGTTTTCTGTGTATTTGCCAAGCATGAGTTACTGTAATAGTTTCAGTAAAGCCATATTGATAATGCCATATTCTAATACATCCATGTGGATGTGCATCCAAAACTGGTACAGCAATGGTTTTACTTTTTTTTTTTTGTTAACAGTTAAGAAAAAAGATTGATACCGCTCTCATGTTTGTATGACAATTATGAAGCAGCCTCAAATAGCAAAAGGCATCTTAGCCTAGCTTAGCATAAAGACTGGTACGCTAACATGTTTATTAGGGAGCTTTAGAAAAGCTAACAGAAGGATTCTTTTACCATCAGTCAGCAAAAATGTCATTCTCAAACAATGAAACCGCTGTGTGAACTAAGTTTTGAGTATTCCTTTATATCGGATTATATTTGCATTTGTACATCACAAACTAGGATATGTCAACTCTACATTAGCCTCCATTTTTTTCCATTCACACATGAGAGTTATATAGATATTTCCCTCTAACTCTCATCCGGAAAAGAAACCACACCAAAATGTCCAACTGTTTCCACCATGCTCAGATTATTCCGCTGGAAGACAATCATGACACAATTGGGATCCTGGCTGGATCACGGTTTCTTGACCTGTACTCCCCGTTTGTAAAACAGGCTTGACCATAAAACATCTCGCTGGCTGTCCAGTTCCCCCCCCTCGTTTTCCACCAACTGTGACATGATGTTGATAGGGTTTTTAATGGTCTTCCTGTGTCCCATGGTCCGCCTCTATGAATCACGCCCACTGCAGCAGGCTCTCCGGACAGCGAGGTGTCATTTCATAATAAATAACATGTGCACGGTGGTGGGGGGGCCGGATGATAAGTGGACAGATAGAATCATCATTTACTCTGCTGGGAAAAACAAATACATATGGTAGTTAGATAAACTTCAAACAGCGTTCGGACATCCTGAGACCACAGGGCTGCTTTGCGTGTCTCTTGCGGGACCCGGAGAGGAAAGAGAGATTTGGCTGTGTTTAGAAAGCAGAAGTCTCCCCTGATAAGGTATATTTAAGATTTCTACATAGAGATAAATATATTTGTTGTGTTCTGCTGCTTTTAATGATGCAGTCCTTTCAGAATCGCTGTAGCAGTACAAATATTTACCATGCTAAATTTACAATCATTTAAAATGTTAAATATTTGTGTTCTCCCCCATTCAGGGATTGGTTAAATTGGCCGTATCTCACAGAAACACATGAAAAGAAAAGGTTGTGACTGCTTGACAGTTGCTTCACGTACAACCAACGGAATTTAACGCATACACCTGTGTGTGCGTCTCCCGGAGATGGTGACGTAGCGCGCTGCGGTAGGCGAGACGGCAGGTGGATGGACAAAAAGAACACACTCGCCTTTCTAAGCCAAAAGAAAATTCTGGATTAAAAAATAATACTAAATTGTTTCAACCCTATGCTGTTCAAGAAAATGTGCTATCCTCTCCCTGGCCTAGACATGCTATTTAATATGCAAAATATAAAATGAATAGATCAAGATGTTTGTTTTAATTTAGATCAGAGTCTTATGCTTCAAATCTGTGTTCTCAAAGTGTCAGTTTGACTCATCTTCATTGATAAAGATTAAAAAGAAGATTTGGATAGTAACAATAAAGTGTACAATTAGTCAAAAATTCAAAAATGTTTAAATCAGTGAAACAAAGACACAAATACAAACATTGACGGAGGTAATCCTTTACCTCCATCCTTTCTCTGTGAAAGTGGCCGAAGGTGTCTCGTGGCCCTCCACCCTCTCGGGGCGACCTCCGCCTGCATGTGAGGCATCCGTCAAGCTTACACCAACAGACAGCATCGTCACCATCCTGACGGAGGCATGGACAGTGAGTGATGGTTTCCCCTGCGCAGCATTCGGCCCACAGAGGAGGGGAGTTTCCCCCGAGGCACCGCACGTCTGTCTGGTACCTGCGAAGTCAAAAGAAAACACTAAATACTGTGCATCTCTATTCCGTACATGGAAACATGGTGGAAACAAAATTCGGGATACCCTCAGAGCTACCATGGGAACGTGATATACACATCACGCCCGCCAGAATGTGAACAGACCAAATAAAGTGAGTCACTGATTCTCACTTTTCATCCCTCCATCCATTCTGCATCAGCAACATTTACGCTAAAGAAAACAAGTGGGCCAGAGAGCGCTGGGTGGGTTTATGCTTCAGTTTCAACATTGGCTTTGCTCTCATAAAAAATTGGGTGGGGGAAAATGTGACGCCCAGTCAGCGTCAGGTGAGTCATTTTATGTGGCAGTTCAGGTTGCAGTCGGTCCAAACCGCCCGCATCTTCTTGTGGCCAGCGTAGGTCAAATGCTGGTTGGGGAGAGAAGGGGAAAAATGAGGGAGAGTTAATTCATTCTGGCCTTTGACAGGTGTGTTTTATGTTTTTGGGAGTTTACCTAAATCTTTGCTAGGCAGGAGGCGAGTCCCCGGCCGCTCAGCCAAATGACTGCATCTGTCGCTGTGAGGCTTTCAAGGCCTCTTTGCCTAATTTTGTGGACAATCTGCTGAAATGTTGTTTTGGGAGAAAATGAGGTTGATTAAAATCATGTCTCATTTTTCCGCTCGTACCGCTGCGGTCTGAGACGCAATTTGTTGCGACAGTACATTTGATTGTTTTTCAAATAAAATAGCGGCTGAAGTCGGCTCATATCGTCTCGTTAGTGTTACGGAAACAACAAACCTGAGTTGACAACCCAATGCAATAGCTGTTTTTCAGGACCGGAGTTAGAGGATTATATAACTACTTGGGAATGCGATTTGGAAAAAGGCAGCTAGGCTTGTAGCTTGTCATTCAGCTGACATGAATACTTGTTTGCCAAGAAAACGGCATGCTAACGTAATAGCATGCTAACGTAACAGCAGGCTAACGTTAATATCTCCGTAAGGCTACTCGCCGTCCTGGAGCTGCTTTTTGTGCCTTTTTTTAGTATATAAACAACATCCAACATCGCAACGGGAAAGGTCCAAGTTCTTGCTGTTGGACGCCCAGAAAAATGTCAGCTAAACGGAACCACACAGCTTGCATTGCTCCAATTAATTTTGTCACGCTTGTCTGCCCTTACAACAGTAAGTAAAGGGGGCGGGACTTGGGGAGGATCAATTAGCCTCCAGCAGTGTGAAAACGTCAGTGTGGTAAATTTCCCACAAATATTAGGAGTGAGAAATATGCAATGTCTCACAATAAGTAGCAGGTCCAATTAGAGAGGAATTTCCGTGCAGATTATCGAGTGCTGCTGCTCCAAACCAGGTGACGACCATCACAGTGGAATCGGGTAGCCGAAGGTCGGCGGGGGTGGGGTCTGCGTCCCATGTGTTTTTGTTTTAAGAAAAATGTATAAAACTCTTTCTTTCAGAACAGAGAGGTTGACCTGCGCCGCCCCCCCCTCTTCCCACTCTTCCAATCTAGTTTAAGCCTTTAATCAAATGGACATCTGGATTGCATTGTGTGTTGCACAGAGAGAGAGGCCTGATTGCTGTTAAGCAGACCACGCGATGATGTCACTTTTCATTAATAATGACGCTGCCCATAGCACTCGCATTCATCTTCCTGTCCAACAATGCAGGGAGCCACAGGCTGAGGACATGACAATGGCGGCGGACGCTCGCCTCGCCTGAGCTGAGGAAAGAAAGCGGGAGCTGCGTGACAAACTCCTCAGCCCGGCTGACTCCAGAAAGGAAACCATGAATCCAGAAGAAGTAAGACAACACCTAAATGACAGCACATCCAATGACAAGTTGTACTCCACGCTCCCAAAGTCACGCGACATCTTAGCCGCAACTCTATCGCAACGATTGATGGGCTGTGAAGAAAACTGTGGGATGAAATATGTGGGACAATTTAAATAAAAAAGAACCAATATTTCCCCATATTTTATCTTTGTTTGCATCCTCTCTGCATGCTGGGGCAGTGCATTGAGCAGTTAACAGGTTTTGCAATGTTTCCACCAAAAATAGAACACCCGAACACCAATTCTTCTAACTATTCACTGTGAAACCAATTATCTATTATGAATCTATTATGACACTTTGGGGGTTTTCTCATCCGTCCTGAGCGAAAGAGAAAATCCCCCATAGAGGTAAAGTACGACGCAGATATTCCTTATTATGATTGATGAATACCACTCAGGTTTCATTTTGTTTTCACAGTCACGGGTGGACTCGGTTTGAGACCATCATTTCCGTAAAGTCCATCTGTTACTGGTAAATCTATGTCTTTTTCCCAAACTGTGTTGTGACTGGTTTATAGGCTGTGCACCAGGGTCAATGCAGATTAAAAGCCAAATGGAATAAAGAAAAAAAGGAATAAGAATAATCCATTTGAATTCAATGTATATGAGATGCTACATTTCACATCGCACATCGCCGGAACAAATGAGTACACTGAAAATAAAAGAGGCAGTCTGGAACTTGAAAGGGGAACAAAATGTACGAAATGGTTTACTGAAAATATCTTACAAATTAGTCAACTAAAAACATAAACGTTGTTTTTGCTTTATTTTCTCAACATAAGAATATTTTTGTGGCATTAACTTTGTTGTCTCTTTGAAAAACTAAATCTGAAATCAGCAATACAGTTATTGGGTTATTGTTCGATCATGTCAGTCATTTTGAAGTGAAAGGTGAACTTTCACAATTACATAAACATAATATTTCTTTTTTTATTATTTTTTTACCTCGTTCTTTTTTTTCCCTTACAAAACATAAACTAAAATGTCTCATTGGCATGAATTCAAAATGTTTACAGCTCTATTAAATCATTCCATCCTTTTTAATATAACTAGTGCTAGAGCACATATTTCAGTACAGACATGTGTTGGTTTATATTAAAATGTGTCTGCTAACTTTAGTGTGTAATTGAAAACAGCAGGGGAACTTTTGTTGGGTACTTTTAATATAATATCAGCATGATGGAAAAATCTAATCTTAACTAAATTAACATCATAAATGTTTTTGATTTTAGGAATAATGATGATGAAGTACTTTTTGTGAAGTTAATGAAATAAGCATATGATCACATCCAAACATAAAACACAGTTATTTAACTTGTCTTAAAACGCTTTATCCGTGTAATGTTTTCAATTTCACTTCAAGGAGCCGAGTGAAATGCACCAGCCTCTATATTTGGACATCTTTTCAGCATTTCAAGACATTCCTTTGCCATGTGCTCTTGAAATAAATTAAGTCTTGATGTTTTGTCCCGTCTGTTGTCAGGCTTGAAAGTTATGTAAATGTGAATTCAAAAGGATTGTCTTATTCAAAAAATGTGATTCTGCAGCTGGTTCGCTTCTTTGCAATTTGAACATGAAACATTTGGACGAACGCAAATCCGGGCTTTTTATTTTTTCCTTTCCACTTACAGAATTCCTGTTTTATGTTATTCATGTCAACGCCGAAATAATTGGAAGTGACTGACATCTTTCTAAACCCTTTTCCTATTGAACAATGCGGCTTCAACTCTTCAAAGGTTCAACAGAACATGGACCTTCTCCAAATTGACTCGGGGTGCAAACAAGAAGGCCCCGCTTCACACATTAATGAGGGAATAGTTACGAAAGTGTTTTGCTTATTATGCCGCTTATCCAAATGAGGAGTGGGACCTTTCAGAAGAGGAAGCTTTTTATCTGTGCCGGGACAGCAGAGCTGCTCTGGAGAGCCTCACTGTGCTTCTCTTATCACCAAAAACTTTAGTTGATTCGGTGCGTAATGGCACTCATTTGATCTCGATGGGGCCGCTGGACTGTCTACTGTCAACTCAGCTCCTCGAGTGTTTCGCCATCCCGCCGATGTGATGGAGTGGACAATTATTATTTTGCAACACGCGCAACATGTGCCTGACCGCGAAAAGCCGGAGGAGTCACTTGGCTCGCCGAGGAGAAGTTGTCAATAATAGCGTGAAAGGTTTTCACCCCATGACCAGCAGAGAATATTTCCACGCAATACTTTCCAGATTCAGAGCAATAAACCGCATGCGTGTCCCGTCCCGCAGCAGATCCGTGCAGTGATGGTACGCAGGCTCTTCTGTCTGTTTGGAGAGGCATCGTTACCGCAACTGGGCTTCGGAAAGAAAAAAAAAAAGAAAGATGAAAGACTGCATCTGGAGCAGCGAGGTGGCCTTCAGCACCGTGGCGTGCAATCCGCTCCATCGTCTCAAAACCTCAAGGTGAAGAGGATGAACTGAAACACGTGTGACCCGGGAGTGATTTCACACCGCCGAGCCGGGTCAGGTCGTTCTCCATCTTCCTTTGTTTCCCGAATGATTCTTTGAACCCGGGGAGGCCGCGAGGCTGCTAACCTCATCACAAACACCACATGAATCTCTCAAGCTATTCTGCTACGCAGCCAGAATAGTTCCATAGCTAATTCACTTCGTTTTGTAATGTGAGAAGTTGATGATAAAAACCGTGTGAATCACCTCACCTGCAACCCAAAGATGTTGGTAGATTTGAATGCAATTCAGAACTAATGAATCATTTAAATTAGGTGAAAAGACATGTGCATGATTGAGCCCATTTACTACGAATAGTATATAGTCTTTGTTCATTTATGTCCAGGTATCCAAGGTATCTTGGCCACCCGTCCATCCCAGAAATGATGGTTGTTTTTGTCGTTATCTATAAAGAAAGGCATGAATTTGCACGCCCGGGAATATCCAGGACCAAACTCCAATTAGTTCATTAACTGCCATTTGTAAAAGACAAAAAAATGTAACCAGGAACTTACAAATATTTGTCATTCTTATCAAAAGGTTGGAAAAGTGTCTGATAAGCGATGTCCCGTGTATAGATGGCGTTATCTCAGTCGAGCCCCACCGTTCCCAGCTGGTTGGCACAAGCAGAGAGAAGAAGAAAGGCAATTAAGGGGAAGCATGCAGATCCCGACGATGACGCGCGTGTCCTGCAGGGCGCCGGTGGTCTGAGCGGTCTGCTCAGATTCTCACAGTGCGGGAAGTCGACATAACCCTTGTGAGACACGAACGCGGCCCAGTAATAATTCCCCCCGCCGTTAATGGCCTTTGGTATATTGTTTTAATAGGGGAGCGGCTCTGACGTCAGCAGGGAGCAGTGTTCTGACTGCTCAAAAGGGAGGGGGGACCAAAAGCTTTCCATTGTCTCAAATGAAGTTGGCAGCGAGAGCCGTTTACTTAGATTCTCCCCGCATGGTGTAATTTGTGAGTGCTACGTTGATAACCTGCATTCGGCTTCGCTCGTGTGTTTGTCTAAGAAAGAGAGAGAAAGAAATGATGGCATGTGCGACTGAGGCCAAAGAGAATAAAATTTCAGCCAGACGCTTAAGTGAATCACCAACTGTGTTGCATGTGAAGTGTACATTTGCGTGACTTGTTGTTTATTGCCCACATTCGGCTCCGTGACTGTCCACCATGTTGGTGCCAAGTCTGAGGCCACGTTCTTAAATCACAACAGGGTTTTTTTGTTGTTTTTTTGGTAGAGAAAGTGGCCGCCCCGCCCGCCGGATAGGTCCGTGTCTCATCCACCATGTATCTTGGCATATAGGACATACAGACATCTTACCCACAAGTTTCCGTTTAAAGGAGTGGATTCGTTTTATGAGATAATGAGCCCTCGCTGCCTCTCTGTTATTCAAAGTACCGCTATTTCTTTCTAATCTTCCTCTCCTCTCAGTTGGTTCTCACTTAAAAGACGCACAACAGCACAACTCGTTGCTCTCGCTACCAAAAGTAGCTGCTCTGTTCCAACAATGTTGGCCTGAGAAAACATGCACGAAGGCTGAAATTCAACCGTGGTTTTGGTTGGACAGGAGATAAAGAGTTTAAACCAAGTAAGAGTGAAAGTGCTTGGCTTATACGTGCAGCTTCAAATGCAAATGTGCTGTGGAACTGTTATTTGAAAAGCCTATTTTTGACGATTGCAGCATTCTTCTAACGCACTGCCATCGGATTCATTTCTTTTTGCAAAAGCTGTGTTCTGAGGTGGGTCACAAACGAGTTTACCTGTGCAGTAATATATTAAATGGAGGATTTAATTCATCAAGATGCATGGACGATTTATATTCAAATTGTTGAGAGGGATCGTATCTTTACCACAGTGAAGATTCCCACCACTGAAAGGTGCATGTGGCTTTCATCATGAATTCCTATCTTTACTTTTCAGGTTTATCACTTACAGGGGCGAAAATTCTATATGAAACACAGGTACAATTTGACTCGAAATTGTGGAATTTCATAACAAGAAAGAGCAGTGAACCAAACAACAACCTCATTCTATTATAGTCCCATTGCTTGAAAAAGGGAAATAAACAGGAGGGAAATAAAAATAAAGGATCAACTGGTTCAACCTATTGTCTCCAATCCTCTTGCACCACAAACATTGTAGATTTTTCGATTTCAGAAGAAGCGGTTGCGTTAATCTTTTGGAGTAAAACTGAGGAGAATCTCTTTGGGGCTTTCACACGGATGTGCACGCTTCACTTGCACGTTTCGTGGATCCCCGTGTTGTATTTGGCGAGCCGGCCCAGCGCGTAAATGTGTTTGGCAGATCCGTGGTGTAGTTCTGTGACTCATTCACAAGGTTTTACACGTTCGGCCCGAGGAGAAGAACTCAGCTGATTTACAATTTGTCACAGGTGCCACTGCCAATAGGTTCTTTTCAATTATATTGCCGTGCCAATCAAATTTACAAGAGGGACCTCTGAACACCTCGACAAACATAAAAGGGCCAGGCCTTGAAAATGAGATGCCTTAAAATGTGATGACATGTATATTGTTCCTAAGGGGATCGGGCCCTTTGCTTCGCTCCACGCTGTCGAGCACGGAAGTGTGGCCACATGCCAAAACCATCGTCTTTATTATCAACACAATTTCCTGTGTTGTAATGGTGTTCAGCATCTGCAACCTATTGAACACTGGTGAATACGAAACAATAAAGTTGAAAGCAGAGGTGCGTGTATCTGTAGCTCTATCAGCTGCTGAGGCCCGGTCGCACTTCACCTGAGCTGATGTGGCCTCTCGATAACGTTTGGATCATCGGCGATGCAGCGTTCACAGACATGCTGCACCGTCCCCAAAGGATGAATCATTTTAATGCAGCAAAGTCACCGGAGTGTTTACATGTGTTTCACATCGGGTGGGTGTCATAGCGTATCGTAACGGCTGTAAATAACGTAGTGAAGTAACATTATGACCACCGCTGCATTTGTCCTGCTTTGTAGGCCGTGAAGTTGGTCCTTTTAACACGTAGCTCCGTGCGGATGGTGGCCGTTGGATGAACTTCAAGTTTTCGGCCCCTCCGTCTTCTCCGCTAGGTTGCTGCTTGTTCTGACATCTGGAAAAAGTAAGATTTGCTTATTTACAAAACGCTTGGATCTTGGCTGCGGACGAGGAAGATTTGCAGGATAAACATACAGTTCATTTGTCTGCAATATTGGCCCCAAAAAAAAAAAGGTGAAAAGTGAATTTCTCTCATTTATTCGTCTCTTATGTCCCTGCGGCTTTCAAAATGTGCACAGTCACTGACTCCGTGACGGTCCCGACGCGGTTCGTTCTCCTCCGGAGCCAAGCGGCCGCGTGACGCGCGCGGGGCTGAGCGGCGGCGACGCAAAACCCAGCAGGTCGTCGTCATCGCCACGCTTTGCAGACGACAGTGTCTGTGAGACCGGGAGGTGTTCAGACAGCAACAATTAGTCCCATCTGAAGAGTGATCATCATTTCAGTGCCACTTCTATATACTTTCCCACAGCCGGTCCCCGGCCCGCTGGGACTGTCGATGCTATCTGCCGTCAAATGTTTACATGAAACGTTAAAAAGAAAAACACGAGGAAAAAGTGGAAATGATGTTAAACACACAGGATAAAAGTACGTGAGTGCATTTTACCGAGGCTATATTATAGTTATTTGTAAAATACCGGCTGATTCTTTGGGGTTTAGCAGATTTGTTGCAGAAAATTAGACGCCACATAAGTCCATATTATCTACAAACTGATACAAGTGGAGCTAATCCAAACACTGACCCACCCTGTGATTGAATATAATTACGGGTGGCCTTCCCGACATCTCGTTCACCGCAGCGGAGTTTGCGTCAGATTTTCTAAAAGAGATGTTTAAAAAAAAGAAAAATAAAATGTTTTTTTGTTTGTTCGTTGGACTGCAGCGACTGAGTGCGGCTATGATGACCTCACGTAACTCTACGGCTCTGTCCGTCCGCCCAGACCGACCCCGATTCCGGGGTAGATTTGGGTTCAGCTCAGATCAAGAGGTCACATCCTTCAGTATTTCTCAAGTTGATATACTACTGGCAGCATAATTGAAAGGCAGGACGCTGTCGGGCTGGCGGCGCGAGCACTTTACAGAGTGTTGTTTTCTTTGGGAGCGCGCTGAATCTCATACCGCATATTTTTCGTTTTTTCCTGTATGGATTTCACATTTGATTGAAAAAATCTTTCTTGTGTGTTTGGATTTCCATTGTGTGGACAACATAAAGGGCTCTGGGATGGGATGTGGGAAAAGGGAGTGTGCAGTTTGCCTAAGTGCATGTTTTGATGTCCGTTTGACAGCCTCGGTCAGTGGCTGATGTCAGAGCGTGCACAAAGTTAACGACCATCCTCTTTCCTACTCTTAATTTCACCGAGGGAAACCAGTGAAAGACTGCTACTGCAGATATCCCGCAATATAAAAAGGGTGGAACACTTCCAGTACATACAATGTTCAATCATTACGCTAAGCCTGGAGCCCTTTATTGCAACCGAAAATAAATTAAACATTTGTGGTTGCGTTGATACAAAATAAGCTACAAATTGATCAAGAATCTCCGTAATGTGGATTGTAAACGAGCTTACCCCTTAATTTAAAAAAAAAAGAGGCTGATTTTTGTATTTCCGTGGTTCTTTAAACACTATTTTGAAAGGAAGTATCTCAGTCATAAGATTTATCCGGACAAATTGTGGTCGCTGACCAATTGGGAAAAACCAATCACCGAGGTATTTGTTTTTGAAGTGGAAATGGATGTCTGCTCAAAATGTTTCTGATTTTATCCCCGCTGCTAATTATTTGTATAAAGCTCGGATTTTCCCATGACTATTTAGTCTAGCGGTGCACACACACACTGAATCAAATGTGGACATTGGCATTAATTTGAAATAAATCAATAAATCTTTTTTTCTTAACGAGCACATCTGTCTCCCTCGGCGGTCGGCGTCCTGGCTCGGCCCGGTTGAAGGAAGGTTGCTGTGCACCAGAAGCACCTGAGCACTCTGTCACCTTATCACGTCTGCATCACGACCTTCGGCGAGGCCTCCGACGGACGGAGGGCGTCGTCTCCGGATGAAACTTCCTTTAAAACCGGAGCACTTGCTCAACCCTATTCTTCTCCAAGTTCCCCTCTTCACTGCCTCTTTCCGGCTTTTTGTCGTTGTTTAACAAACGTCCCGAGTATGAGGTGTTTAATAAGTGTCCACATTTCCTCTGCAGGAGGAAATAATACATCCCGACTCATTATTTCAATAAACAAAATGTACTACGACCCCTCAACAGCTAATGAGAGAAAAGTGTGTTTGGCAAACGCATGTTACAATGATATACCAGGTGCTGCTGTTCTGTTATTCAGACGGTCTTGCGGAGACGGTTTCTTGGCATAAAGCAAGGCAGTAATCATTTTGCTTTGACACTTAGCAACTGAGCGTTATAATAGGAACTGACCTCGCGGTCGTAAGTATGGAGTCACTGACTAAACATTGGAGCACGAGGTAAAGAAATGTGGAACCAGAAGTAAACGTCATCGGTCACCATTGTTCCCGCTCATCTCGCCATAACTCAGATATGTTGAGCTACCTGCAGCCGGCCAGAAGTCGACTCGGAGCGCTGCCACCATGACTGAAATATCGTCTCACGTTGCTGTGACTGATGTCACCTCCACGGGCTAAATAAAGCCAACCCGGGTCTGGTTACACATGGAACTTATCGGACCGATTAAACTTTCTACCAGTCGCAAAAGTGAGACTACGGTCTCAATAAGCCTCAGTGGACATGCCGTGAGGACAGGCTTTTTATTAAAGATAAGGTAGCAACACCACACAATTAAGCTACTCCGTTACTGGTTAAAAATCATTAAAATGAAGTAAAAGAAATGTTTGTTTCCGAAGAAATTCATCAGAACTAACTCTTCTAATGCAAATTGTTACATTGTTTTGAGTATTTTTTGCTTTAGTACTACTTTACATTCTGTTGCTATTTCAATCCATGATAATTTGCCAATATGTTAGTGTTAAATACTTTGGATTCCTAATTATTAAACATAAAATGGAAACAAAAAACAGCAACTTTTTACCAATGTTAATGTTATTAGGGTTAAGTCCTAAGAAAACTCAAGGACTCGGCAGCAGGGTGAATGTGAGGCCAAAAACGGGGCTTGAACCTGGCTTCTCCGGTTAAAGGACATCTGTCTCCCCCCCAAAACCGCGTTAACGCCGCCAACATGGGACGGAAAGAGAAAAGTAGAAAATATGACGTGGGAACATCTCATCTCCTTGGTTCTCCAACACTGATCACCAAGAGTCGGATCGGGGCTCCAACCCGACAGCTTTCGCCCCGTCGAGGGAATATCCTGTTTTCCCTTCCTGTGCTCCTGGTGAGCGCGGCCAGGGATCCGCACGCTTATTGAAAGTGGAAAATGATGTTCCCCTGTCGTTCGTCTGGACAATGACTGACAGTATATTCCAGGGCTTTGAGGCAAAAAGTAATTTCCATGAGGGTGAGCGGACGTGGAAAGCTCATTTACAAGTCGGAACCAAACTGGGAAGACGTGGTCACTTTAAGCTCCCTTTTGAGGTTTCTGACTCTTTCAAAACATGTCAGTCGTAGGAAAATGTGAATAATTGGATGAGATGAATCAGTCCCTGAATATTTATGATAGTTACATTTGTGTCAATAACGTGATTGCAACTGTGATTCTGGATTGGCGTCATAATGATCCTTTATGATATGAATATTTATGATATGAATATCATAAAAAATATGAATAATATGATATGAATATTTATGATAGTTACATTTGTGTCAATAACGTGATTGCAACTGTGATTCTGGATTGGCGTCATAATGATCCTTTTGCTGTCATTAAATTAAATATTTTTCAATTTGAACTCACCAGATGCACCTATTTCTATGCAGATAAAAGTGAAAGAAGTATTCTCTCACCTGGCCTCCTCCTGCAGGAAACAGGCAAGCTTGTCGGATTGTCTGTTTTGGAACGCGGACATCCCCTCACACAGTTTTCAGCATACTAAACCCTTCTTTTTATTTTCTTATGACCTATCTGTCTAATCTCCACTGGAGTCCGGTACTGTGGATTATGTTGTGTTATGTGGAAAGTCTTCTCTTAACTGCAATCTTCCCTCCATCATCTATTTGCATTGGACTCCACCGCTGTCTGTAGATATTGGCCTAATACAAACAAAGCTTTCATCATACCAGGGGGTCAGTTCAATGGTCGGGTCACAGGGGTGGACACAAACATCCCGCCCCTAAAAAGGCGGATTCTCTCGCCGCTTTCTGTTCCAAGTCCCATGCAAATCCCACACCCGGCAGCCCCCCCATGGTCCGAAGATACGTGCCGAAGCAGCACAAAAAAGGGGGAACGAGCTGCCTGACCATTGGCAGCCCGTTTCTTCTATTTAATCGACGTTGGCATTCCCCCCCCACCCCCTCCCTCCCCCCGCTCTGTGCCACAGCGGGCGCAGCTCCGATGGCTTACAGGCCGCTGGCGGCACCTGTCTCCTCTTCAGCGCCAGGCCGGGGGGGGGGGGGGGGGGTGCCCCCCCCCGCTTTATCCCCCGCCTAATATTTTCAAAGGAGCCCGGGTTTCTATCCAACAATGGCAGCGCCCGTGGCGCGTCCGCTCCCCCAGGAAGCAGCTTTTGTGGCTCTTCCCTGCTGCCCGGTGGGCCGAGATTGTCGCCGTGGGTCCGGCCGGCTGTTTGGATTGGGATGCGTTTCGGATTCCTTCAGTACATTTAGGCTGCGCTACGTTGGTTTCGTTACTCAGTAAAGGAAACGATTCATTTTTTTTTCCTCAGGTGTCGGACAAGTTCACACTGCCGGCGCAGAATTGTGAATTATGCTGCACTGCAAACAACCACAGAGACTGACCTCATTGATCACTCATTTCACGGGAAGCGTGCTTTTGTTGTGCGCATTGTTATAATACGTGTGCGCAAAAGACATTTTATATACGTGTGTTCGCACAAAAGAGTTTCGAGAGAACGTTTTGAGAGATGTGTCTTCGTAAATGTCCTTTAATTAGTCTTCTTGGAATGAATCAAAGCAGTTTCTGTTTTCTTGCACAGATTCTTCCCCACCGATCACGTAAAGGCTGCCTATTTTTTTTTTAAATAGGTGAAACATTATGGTTGGGCAGATTGTAAAACACACAGGAACTTGAACTGTGACCTTCCTCATACAGCAGCCCATTCTCTCCTCTCTTTGTTTTGTGCAGGAGTCAATCTGGATCATTAATTTTACGGGCTCCCCGGGGCTCTCTGCATTCTTTGATGTTTTCTGACACAACGCACTTAACATTCCGCACGAACGTCTCGTCACTCTCCGGCCTGACGTGACTGAGAAATAAGTAATGCCCCACGCAACGTGCACTTATCTAGACGCAGAGGACTGCGAGGAAAAGAAAGGCATTCTTGGCTCTTTGTCATGCTACAGTGCTCCGCTGAGATGAGGTCTCTGTGTGGTGGAGTCAGTGCACTCGCGACACACGCAGCCGCACCCGCAGAATATTAATGGATCAATTGACTCAGGTTCAGTTCTCTCATCATCCCACCCGTTACATATCTTTGTTGTCCCCATTGCACAATCAACACCTTTCATAAAATCTGAATATTACCTGTTTGCTCCTGGAACATGACTTTGAAAAGACAAAGATTAAGCCATCGCTCCTAGTTGTGTTTCTCTCTCCTCCGTTTTAGCCATTGTTATGAAATGTTTACACTTCCCAATCTGGCGGGTCCATAAAGACGTGTTTGTCTCTAATTGACCAACTGGCAGGAGTGCTGTTTCTCCTTATTGCCTACAGGTAAAAAAAAAAAAAAAGCCTTTAAGTTATTCACTCGGCATCCCAAGGGATCCCAAGAAAAAACAAACCACCATGTTTGACCTTTGCAGAGACTCTTGTAGCAACAGGCTCCTCTTACAACTCATATCAGCTTCCATTGAAGTGCAAACAAAGGCTCAGTAATAGTAACCAAACAGACAAGCTGAGCAGCGGTCTGGCGCAGCCCGGGTAACATTACGAGCGCCAGGCGGATCCAGACTACATTTAAACGTCATTATGACACAAAACAATAAATAAATTGGTTTGCATGCCTCATATTTTCGGGACAAGTTCGAGATCAGTTTGAACATGTTCATAAACAAAACCTAAATGTTATGGATGAAAATCCAGATCAAATCAAGTAAAAGCTTACAATTTTTCCGCTCGTCGTCACGGTGACACTGGACAGGATGGTACCGCCAGTGGAGGAGCCCATTATAACTGATTTTATAAATATTTAGGCTTAGCCACATTAAGCTGATTTGGGTACTTTACTCTGCTGGTCTGCCGTGAACACTTGAGTCTAAATCTGCTTAATTTCTGTGTTGTGCCACTCGGCGCGCGTTTTGCGTTCTCGTGAGATATTACAAAAATGCCTGATCTTGCTGTTACATCAGCATGCATTTCTTTAGAACATACGACCGTGATGACGTACCGCATGATGTCCCGTCATCAGCGGAGAAAGTCTCAGCAGATCTGCGATAATTGATACGGGAAGCCAAAGACCCAAGACAGCCAGGCAGTGTGGAGTTATGGGTGATTAAATAACCAGTCCCAGGTTACTGCGGCGAGACAGCGGAGATGTGGTAGTCAAGGGCTGGGCTAAACTCTCTGGCCGAAGGATCCCTGTGGTTTGAAAGAAAGAAACAATTACTGGAAGATTAAAAAGGACGTCAAGGGAAGACACGATGAGCAATACGAAGGGTTGAAATAGAGATGTTTGTTTTCACATTAAATACGCTGCTCCATTCGGGTTGTCAGACATGTCTGTGGATCTCAATTCTTTTTAGATGGGGTGCAGACAAAAGGACTGTGGTTCATCTTTGATCCCCGGTTCTCAAGGTGCTAGCTCCGACCACACTGCGCAGAAAGGGAACTTGATTCTGTAATAAGCTTAACCTCAATGGGTGTGTTTCATAGCAAGTTATGGATAATTGGAATATCTCGAAGTAATGAGAAGAGTCTAAAGCCGGGCTCTTTAAAAATATGAACAAAAAAAAAAAGGAGCTTAATGCTAAGATCAGCATGCTAACATGATCAGTGCCAAGACACACCGGGCTTTAACGTGTACATTTTGTTTTGTTTCTGAAGGTATTCGAAGTCACAATAGAATTGCATGGATTTAACAGTGAGGAAACTCGGTTGTTTGCTCCAAGGCCGAATGCTAATAAATGGAGAAGCGTATTAAATACTAGTCATACTTAAGTCATACTTAAACTTTAAGTTAGCTCGTAAAACACAATCTATCGACTGTGCAGGAAACCTTTTGGTCCTCTTTACATGTGCCCGTCGTGTGTGTGACGTGTGGCGGTCTGACAGTTATATTGGAAACGTAAAAATGTGTGCAAAACGATTGATACATTTCGCTTTAGACAGAAAATGTGAACCATATGGTGACACACGAGGAAAACTGAGGAGATTACCGAATGTCTCAGGCCCGAATCCTCTCGGGATCCTGCATACTCCAACCGAATTCCATGGCATCCATCCAGTAGTGATTGAGATATTCCCCCCCCCCTGACCCGGACCAACGTTGCCATCCCGTGTTCCCTGCCTCGGGTACAACGTTACCTCGGAAGGAATGAATGTGTTTATTTGCAGCGTAAAAAGGCACCCAAAATATTTACAGTGATACCCATCGAAAGCTCTTCCTTTTCTGTCCATCAGCGCTGCAATCCGATCCGCGGAGAGCCTGTTGCCCTCGCTAGCCTCTCCCTCCCTGAATCTACCATCTCGGGGCAAAATTCTTAACTCAGCCACCGAAGAGCCAGTGACAAGCTGGTCGCACAAGTATTATGTTTTATGTTTTCCCCATTGCTGTCTAATGTTTCACATTGAGGTTGGGACCGTCAAGCAAACTACAGCTCACAAAAGAATGGGCCCATTGATTCCCAGAGGAATAATTTTAGCGGAGGGAGTATTTAGCACAGGCCCGGCTAGAAAGAGCTATTAGCTGCTTCTCCAGCTCTGTGATCCATGACTGGAGAGGCTCAGTGTGAGGAGAGAAAGAGGACCCTCGCCTGGCACGGCATCCACACTCATTTCACCCCGCACAGGCAGCGCTCGTCTCAGCTGTAAAAAAAAAAAAAGAAAAAACCACATGGCTTCCTTCTCATATTTTTCCAACAGAATTTTCCAAACAAATGTTGCCCCCTCGACACGAGCGGTGGGAACGGGAACGTAAAGCACTGGAAATGCTCCGTCGCGTCTGAGCAGGTGACTAAGAAGGAGATATCGCATGAACCACAGCAGTGTGCTGGAAATCGTTGCCTTTGCTTCGCTCTACATGCTGACAGGAGCCTCTCGGATTGGGCCCCGAATTCCCATTCCTCAGGAGGAACCAAAGTGGTCCATCATTACCTCCGCTAAACTCCCCCCTTTTTTTCCCATTTCAGCACCACACTGAGCTAAGATATCAGCTAACACATTATCCTCTTAGCCCTGGAGACTGATAGCCAGCGAGGGCCTCCAGCCAAGAGCAGCCACACAGGTCAGGGAAGGAAACAGGCATCCCAGTTACAGCAACAGCTCATTCAAACCAGGTCAGTTTGGACATCGCTCACTTATTGATCAATTAACCAGTTGCAATGCAGGCAAATTATGGTTAGAATCAGACACAAAACATTTCTTTGCAGTTGTATATACTTACAAAACCTACAAAAAAGGGACTTTTGCACTGTGGATTTACAAGTAGCAGCGGATACATTAATTCAACTAGGGACGATTAAATGACCTTACGAATTTAACCGACTCAATGTATGTTTTGTATACCATTTTCTCCGGAGCTCATATATGTTTACTTTAATACTACAAGAGGGCGCCGCATTTTGTCATATTTTTATGTTAATTTCAAACTTTTCAAAATTGAAAATTAAAAACATTTTATTTATTTATTTATTGTAAATGACCTCTCGCGGCCCTTTGGGAATCGCTGGATGAATTGATTAGCACTGGGGAAATAAAATTAAAGAGTTGTGTCATTGCTATAAGTTGTTATTTGAATCACCCTAAAATACTAAAGTATCCCCACAACTTCAAACATCATCGCTGAGTGTGAGGTGATATTAGCATGTCTGGTTGTTGTCTGGCTTCTTTGAGAACATTTGATTGTGTTTGTTGGCTCGGACGCCTCTTCGT